ATTCTTAAGTAATTCTGTCATATTGGAAGGATACTTTAAGTAATTTCACAATATAGGATGCTCTCTGCCATATTCTCTTCACTCTCTACCAGGATGCACAGGGCTACATAACTGTCGTAGGAATCTCCCTGCTGGGGTTACACGCTTGTCCAGAGGGACGAAGACAGGAAAATAGTGACTGACTGGTATCTCACCATATTTCAGGTATGTGTGCCTGATTTCCAGGTTCAGCCATTTCTGGTGGTAAGAAATTTGTGACTATGAGCCAGACATATAAGGAGAGATGAGAAGAGAGAAAGAGAAATCAGAAGGGAAAAGGAAGTAAGGGGAAAAGACCAAAGATCAAGAAAGAGGATATGGGTGTGCATACTACTGAATAAATGAAAATCTGAATTTGCCCCCTGTGAGGCACCTAATAGTGCCTGATGACCCAGTGAGCGAGAGTTCTAGATGGATGGGCTGAGATGTGGAAAGAAAGCTGACTTCGAATGTGATCTATTTGCATCAGAACTACCACGGCTGTGGTGGGCTTAGAATAAAAAATGAGAACAGAAATGTCTGATGGTGTGAGTTATAAACCAACGTTCTAGAGGATTCTCCCAATGACAGCTGAGTAGGACAACCCGTGATGTCCACATATCCAGCTGACCGGAGGGTGCTGAGCACTGCAGCAGCTCGAGAGGTGTGACTATGAGTCAGTTCCACGATGGCAGGAGGTTTTCCATAGTACCTCCTTCATCCTCTCCTGACCTGTGGAGCACCACAGAAGTACCCTAGAATTTGACCTGTGGGTTGGGTGGTTTGATGTGGGCTGCAGAAGAGACGCCTGAGCAGACAAAAGCATGGGGAATGACAGTGTCTCCAGCATCCTTAACACTAAGAGCAAACAGGGAGGCTGCAGGCTCACTCAACTCTTCAGAAGGATTAAACCCACACACACCATGCCCCCCATTCCTTAGTGGGTGAGGAAAAGAAGCATAGGGCTGTTGTTCCTAAAAATTCATCCTCCTTCCCACTTCATTGGGGGTGAAAAGACTGTCCACAGTGGAGCCTGCCAGTGGAGAGGAAAGCTATCAGGAAGTACTTTGATTTAGCAGGTAGACTTGCAAACCTTTTAGCATATGTAGTGTTGGATTTGAGTTGCAGCAGCTTGGTTTCCAAAGACAGTTTTCTTTCTAGCAGTGATCTCTTTTCCTAGGAGAAAATAAGATACAAGTTTTGTTTATTTTCTGTGTGTATGTGCATGTGTGTGTAGGCACACACATGTTTAGTGAAGCATTCTTCTTGCAAACTGTTCACAAAAGATGCCTCTTGCAATGCAAGAAATACAGATTGAGCTAAAGAGCTCATTTCCTAAGAGCTGTTTACAAGGTACCCCAAGACAGCCTGGTTGGGCTTTCCTCTGAGTGCTTTACAAGGAAGTTAAGTTTTTTTTTTTTTTTTCATTTCCTTGCTGCCTAGAGAGCTTGCGCCTCATCTAACCCACTGCTGAAATGGAGCCCCTGCAGCTTGACCTCTCCCATCCTCCTCCTCAGTCCCACCCCAAATGCACAGTCTGTTCAGTCCCTGCTCATCACCACACCTGCCTCTCCTCCATTAGGCTGAGTGGTTGATATCCAAGGACACCAATGCGCGTACCTTGATACCTCTACCTGCTCTCCTGGCATCTGTCGGAAAACAGGAAAGTACTAAATGTATTTTTAATGACAGATCAAGGCCACAGACAATTAAATTGCTTCCTAATTAGGATCCCAGAAAAACTATGACACTAAGAAAGAACATCTTTACACATGCTGTCGTTTAATTATTAAACCAAACTATCTTCGTCCCAAAGGAAAACAGACAAGTCCATGAAAAACCAGGCTGGGACGATTGTGTTCGGTGTGTATTTGATGGCAACATGCTGAAAGAAGGAATTTAGAGTCTGGGCTGGCTGGTTTAAGTAGCCAAGTTGGGATGTGGGGGAATCAGGAAACAACTGAAAAGAGCAAGAATTGGTATCGGCAAACGGGATGGCCCTGACTGAAAGAGATTTTATGAAAATATTCACAATGCTATTTAAATCGCTTCTCACTGTGGTATTTATATGGGTATTACACAGGCAGAGCACACAGCAGAAGCATCTGAAAGATTCTGTACATGGGCTGATCTAGTTTTGAAATTTGGGTCCAAGGTTTTAGCCTCTCTGGGTCTTATTACTGTTAAGAAAAATTAACCAAAACTCAGAAATAAAAGCAATATGTGCTGCATGTAGTTTTCACGTCACATTAGGTCATGTTTACTAATCTGACCCCTGAATCATTTAATTTACTCAGATAATTTTCCTGTGCCTGACTTTGTGGTCTGATTAGAGTTCTGACTCTCTGAAGTTGCATGTTAATGTGTGGTTCCTGTTTGGTAGAAAAGATGATCCTAAAGGTTATGGTTTAATTGCCTCAAAGAATATAAACCACTTTTTCAAGTCTAACCTAAAAACCTGATTCTGTACTCCTTTCCTTCTCACAAAATGCCTATGTAAGTAGCCAGTTTCTCAAAATACTTTATTTAAATCAGCTTTACCATCTTACTGGTTCCCTCATTAGTTAATGAGTTGAATAAAACATTCGACATGTATTCATTCTATATTTGTATGAGTCACATTTTAAAATTTATGAACATCCCTAAAATGAGGATAATAATCCCTAAACTGAAACGTTGGGATGATTAGAGATAATGTATGTGAGAGGCCTTCCTTGTTCCCTTGGCTTGGGGTTGGCCTTCGTTTTTTATTAATTTTGGGGTTTTGATTTCTTTCCCTTTTTTTTTTTTTTGGGTTTTTTTAAAAGTTATGCTAATTTATTCAAATTTCTCTTGTGGAATTCTTGATCCACAGAAATTGTTCCAGAGTAGCCATAGTTATGTTCAAATTATTTCTGAGCCTTGCAAGCTAATGATGACATTTGGATGACCAATAAAACCCATCAAAGATCATGTATCTTTAAGTTTGCAGGTTGGAGGAATGGTGTTTCGCAATCATTCTTCCAGATGGACTTCTTCTTGATTAACAGATTTTCACAGTCAAGAGTTAAAAGAGTCCACAGACAACTGAAGAAAACCTCCAAGCCAGGCCAGGGTTCTAGCATCCGGTGTGGGCTCTTCACGCACCCTCTTGGGCAGCACAGTAGGTCACAGGTTACCAGCTAACACTTCTCTGACTGTGGTTTCATGGTGTGAATAGCATCACACCGTGGGCACCTGCTGTTCCCAAAGCTGCCCCCCTAGGAGGCAGTATCAATAGGAGAGGAGTGGACACCAATTACAGTCATTACCAAATGTTCCCATCTAACTGATGTAGGGGCCCAGAATGTCATTTTATCTAGCATAAGAAAAGAGAGGGACATAATGGGAAGGGCTGTGAACTTGAAGCTGGAGGATTACAGAATACTTCCTTGGCCCCGCCCCCTCCTCGTTTATAAAATGATGATGAGAAACTAGGTGGTCTCAGAAGTGTCTTTGAGCTCTAAAATTCTAATGGAGCTAAATCAATGACACTGAGAATCAAACATGATTCAACAGAATTGCACTGTTAGCAAAAGGAGAACGTGCCATATGAAAATGTTCTTATTGGGCGTTTTCGCTAGCTTATCACTGTGTGTGCGGAATAGATTCTCACTGCATTCCTGATTAAAGTGGGACAGATGGTGGAGGTTTTAAGTAATGTGTTCATTACCAGACCTCATAGCACTAATGGCTATTTACTGGAGCAGGGCCTTGTTCAAGTGAGTAGCAAATGAATTCTTCTCTAGGGGTACCCACTACTAGGGCGGTATTTATCACCCTTTCTGAGAATGAGCATTTTTTTTTCATTTTTACTTTCTTTTGGAACTGGCATCTTTTCCCTATTAATACAAAAGGTTTAGGACTCTCTCCCCCCATTCTAACACACTCCCTATCTGAGAAACCTCCTCCAAGCCTGTCTTCTCATTATCTCCTTAAACCAAGATGGTGCCAAGTTTTACTTCTTTTAATAGTTTTATTTGTTTGTTTACAAATATAAAATGTCTTTAAATGAAATATGTTTAAAAAAAAAAAACACTCCATGCTCCTCCACTCCATCTCCACTCAGCTCAACCTCACAGAGGTTCCCCAGAGGCTCGACCCCAGAAACCACTGAACTTTGGCATTCTAGAAGGTTAGCACATGGTCTTGCTTAGCCATGGGCATCCAGTCTCTTACTCTGTCACAAATCTTCTATAGGCAGAGAACAGTTATGGGTCAACATTACAGGCAAGCTAAGCCTTTGCCTCTAAAAAATGCCCTGTCAGTATCTGAGCCACTGACCCTTAATCTTGAATGTGTCCCCCTACATTCAACAGGGGTTTTGGCCTTCCCCAAAAGATCCTTAGGAGAATTAGAGGCAGAAGCAGCACACAGTCCAGTTCCACACACTGTAATCTCCACAAACAGTGACTGTGTCCATTCATTCCCAAGCTCATTCACCCCAGCTCTGCATAGCACATGGTAGGTGCTCAAATCTACTGAATAAATGGTTGATTAAATACATCCCGGAACCTTGAGACCTAGTATAATAACTCACATATGGTCTGGAATTCCTGGGGTTGTTAGAAAACAGAAATTATCTTCCACTGTCCTTTTGTTACTTTTCAGGCACTAACCAGTGGCCACTAATCTGACCTGGTGTTTGCTGGATTTGAGATAGGATGATTGCAAGTTGAAGGTTACATTCCAAACTGGTTGATCAAGTTGTTTGGTTAGACAACCCTATGTGCTTTCCAGAACTGTTTTCCTTTTCTCAATGCAAACATTCATTGTGCTTAGTTTCTAAATGATTTATTATCAAATGGAGTTTTCTAACACTATCAAGTACCAAACCAAATATTGCAGCTTTTCCAAGAGAGTGTAATTATAAACTGGCCTGCCTGCATACACCAACTGCTTAAGGACATTCTAGTCCAATGATTCTACTGAAGAACAGCACCCAATACCTAATAGGAGTGTAGCGGTGTGTTGTTATTAGATAACATTAAGTTTACGCTTATTTAGTTTTTGCGATTTCCTCTTATTTTTCCTCATTAAGATTACAAATGCAACTAAATTCAGTATCACAAATCTTACATTCTTGGAAAATACTTTAAAACTAATCAAAGTTCCTTCAGTAAGAAATCTGAATACCATTGAAATATGACGTTTTTGAAGTGACATTTTTTAAAATGCCATAACAAAGAAGACTTGGAAAAAATATTGAGGTTGAGAAGAGCAGAAGTAAATCAGGAGATTAAAACAATAAATATAAAACACATCAGGTGGAATTTCCTAGAAGCCAAACCTATGTTCTTATCTACACTGAATACAGTTTCAGAAGTGCCAATTTCTTGTTTGTTTTGCTATTAAAAGTTAAAATTCCTTGTTTTGTTTAAATTCTAAATTATAAGGCATGAATAATTAAATTTATGTGTTTATCTTTTGTATGCATTTGGAGTGCCAGCCACTTAAAGTAACACTGCATGAACTGTTTCCCAATTTTTCTTCTATTATTACTCTTTTCCAAATCCATCTTTGGAAAGTTCTGATTTCCAAAGAAGAGATTTTCTTACTGTGAACTCTCTTTCTCCTGGTGTAAATATTAGTTTTTATGTATTCAGAGGGGTCAAGAGTGGCCAGAAATGAAGACTACTCTCTCTAACACACACAAAAGGCCATGAGGGGTAGCATCTGCCACATTATTATTATATAATCTAAGAGGTAGATTCTGTGGTATTTTCCATTATTTCCATTCACAGCCTGACCTGGTTTCCCATTCTAAGATGTGCATTTACTAAAAAGAGAAAGTTACAATGATATCACTACATTATTTGCTAAAGTATACCACAGATCATATTAAGTGTTAAAGAGAAGAAGCTAACATTATTGAGCACTTCCTAAGATCAGGTATCATAGGAGGAAATTTCATTTCATATTATATTATTTAATTTAATATCCTATTTTTTCAGTGTTATTGTCTTTTATTTCCCCCCCAGTCCTGTCAGGAAGAAATCCCTTTCGATCTTCAGAGACTTACCTTTTCCATTCTCTCTAGAAGGTTCTCCAATTCTGTGATCTGACTATGTTTTTCTTCAAGTTTTTCAGTGACTTGATTCAGATTTTCAACATGTTGTTTCAATTTCTGTTCTTTTTCAAGCTTATTAACCTTTAGTCAGAAAAAATAGTTACCAGATTATTTTTATTAAACCATACACAAAACATGTCCCTCTAGAATTTTCTAACTAGCCACAGAAATGAATAGCTCACACTTGTTTAGAACTATTCTTTTGATTTTAGTGTTTTCTTTGAAATAATCCTGATGAATGCAATACTAAATCAGTAGAGAATAATAATATATACATATGATCCCTAGAATGTTGACATTTGTTACCATAGAGCCTGCCTCCCAAAATGGTATGAGAAAGACACATGCTGATTTAAGAAAAGCAAAATATTTAATTGTTTCTCAACAAAAATTATCTAGAATAAAAAATAAAAGCTTATATGTTCAATTGAAGGTGTTTCTTTTTAAATCAGGAAGTGTCATAAAAGCAGAATAATTATCCCCAATGCGTCTGGGGTTTTTCCCAGGCGTGCTGCAGGAGGGGAAAGACCCCAGAAGAAAAGTCTCTGCTTGGCCTCCCATAGGCCACACTTGGGAGTGTTTCAACTTGACCTCTCTCTGACATGAACATAGATATCTGCTGCAGAACTTGAGATTTCTCAGTAAGAATAAAAGCATCTGTCTGCCCTTGAAAACTCCAGGTGGGCATTCCTACCAGGCTGCTTGGGGTAAGGCCAATGTCCCATCACAGGGACATGCATGACCTGTCTGAAGGACACTGACACTGCTCCAATGGACCCCTCCCAGGTGCACAAGCCAGCCAGGCCATTTCATTTGCTTTTGTTCTTCACCCAGCACACAGGCGAGTTTGTAGCTGTCAGCACCATGGCCTGAAGCAGGAGAAGCATGACCAACGCGCAGTGGATTTCCTACTGTGCTCCCAAGGGGACCTACCTAAGGCCAGAGCAGGCAGAGACCCAGGCACCTCATTTTATATTCTGAGTTTCAGTACATACACACACACACACACACACACACACACACACACACACACACGATCTCTCCTCCAATCCTAGAACATTTTTCAGACGTTTATCAGTCCTAGCACACGTAACTCTGATTTAAAATAAAAGCAAACAAAAAACTGTGCGTGAGTTTGCATGTGTGCACATTTATTTTTATATCTTTAAATGTATTTGTACGCACACACAATTTATGTTTGTTTTTTTCCCTAATCAGAAGAACGTATTCTAAGACCCAAATGATCTTTAATCCATTTATCTGGCCCGAAACCCAAGTCCAGAGAAAAGGAAATGAATCTGTCTGGACCATCTTGTTAGTCAAAGGTGGAGTCGGAAGAGGCACAGGCCAGCCCCGATCTCCTGACAGGATGGCCCTGCCTCCTCCCCCTGTGCTGTGCAGGGAGCTCTGGGCAAGAATGGCCCGCAACACAGCAGCTCGGCCACATCTGGTGTGGGCTCAGCAGGGCTGGGGCAATCGGCACAAAAGACAGCTCTTCTGCCTCGTCTCTGCCCTTGCCACATCACCGGCTCTGGCTTGTTCCACATCTAACTCCTCCAGAAAGAGGGACTAGACTGGCTCCCATGGACCGGCTGATAGTTGGTACCTGGAGTAATTGTTTACTGTCCTTGTGCTTCTTTCTCACGTCTTCAGACTGTGCTTGGTAGTTTTCAAATAATTTCTGGGCCACATTTCTCAGAGCTGCTGCTCCTGCTTCTCTGGAGGCTTCCAGCTAGGGAGAAAGGTCACGCTGCATGTTTTGACATTTCCAGTTAAAAGGGTGAGAGGCAGAACATTTTGATGGGCAATTAAAAACAGAGACTCTGACTCTACCATTTGCAGCCCCATAGACAATGGATGGGAGAAAAGACACTGTTATTTGGTAAAGAAAAACGTAAAATAAGAAACCCCTTGTTTAGTGGGTCAGTGCATGGAGACATGTCTGTCCTGGCCAAGCCGAAACAGAGCTTTAGGTGCAAGCATGGTAACTTCCTGAAACAGAAGTGGGACAAGCTTGAAGTAGGTGGGCAACAAAAATTTAAGGATTGTGAATCTTTCAAAGCTTTAAACAGGGAAATAAAGATGGCTGCAAAGATTATCTACTAAGATATTCACTGTAGGACTGAATAGAAAATAAGGCCCCTCAAAGAAAACATAAAGCATTCAATAATGGATCAGTGAAACCAATAGTGAGACATCTATGAATGCTATAATTAATGTTTATTAAATATGCAAATGCTTTTTAAATTTATTGTGGAAAGAAACTTAGCTTGAGACTTAGCCTCTTGAATTTGGAAGTGCACAGTACAGCATTGTTAACTATAAGCTCAGTCTCTAAAGCAAGCCTCTGGGATTTACTCAGCTTTCATAACTGAAACTTTATACCCATTGACCTTCTGTAAGATCTCTTCACTAGTAACAGTAAACCAGGTTGAGACCTAATTTGTGAAATGCTTCTGTACACATGTGAGCACCCGTGTGGGCCTGTGGATATGTGTGGGTGTCACTCAGCTTGCACAAAACAACAGGTGCTGACCACCTGTCAGCTCCAAGGCTCAAAATGTGAGATTGGAAATTTCCCCTAATCGTCAGACCTTGATTTTCAATACTTCATTCTCCTTGTTCACTTCTAAGAGCTGCAGGTCTTTTCCTCTCAGTTTTTCCATGAGCAACTCCAAGCTGCAACAAGAGGGGTCCACTTCAGAGTCGGAGCCATTTTGAAAGTTTCCACAGGGCTGAAATGGACAACATGGAATCGCTGAGCTGGCCACTCCTTTCCTCATAACTCGGACAACAATAGTTACCATTCAGCATTACACAGGTCAAACCAGCTGGCCTCTACTTTATTTATTTATTTTGCTTTTTGTACAGGAGATTGAACGCAGGGGCACTTTGCCACTGAGCCACATTCTCAGTCTTTTTTAAATTTTTTACCTTGAGACTGTGTCTCACTCAGTTGCTGAGGGCCTCACTGAGTTGCTGAGGCTGAATTCAAATTTGTGATGCTCCTATCGCAGCATCTCAAGTTGCATGTGCTTCCACACTAGGCTGGCCTCTACGTTTGCTCAAGTTTGAACAGATTCTTCCAGTAAATGAGGTAGAACTACATGTCTTTTTCCTTTTATATCTCTTATAGTTTCAAACATACTGTTAAATGCATCTTAGGAGATAAAGAATATCCACAGATCAAATTTCTTATCTAAGTCATGGCATAAATATATTTTGGTTGCACTGCATTACACACTAATATAATTGGACCTAATAAGTATGATATGTAATATTCAACGTTCAACAATGTTTCATTATAATTAACTTATATCTCATATTAAATTTCCAATCAGGGACATCAGAATGGAGTACCACGGCCATTATAATTCTATGTTACTGTAGCTCACTGAAACTACACTTGGAGCATAAATACCATCTGGATTCTTAAACATCTGGAGGTGGAAAGAGAATAGTAAACTTCCAACTTAGCACATCAATGTTCCAGAAACCAAGGGCCAGAACCCAAGTTTACATAGCAAGTGAGAGAACTCCCAGTACAACCTCTGGATATCCATCCTGTGCTCTTTAAACTTATTTCAAGGCAGATGGAAAAAAAAAATATTATACAAATACTCAATTTGCTAAGCACCTACTATGAGCCAGGTCATCTTTTTTATGTTTTCTGTGTATTCCATTGTCATTGTCTGAATACTCAAAATGATAGAAGAACTATGATCTTCTTACATAGGAGGAAACTGAAGATGAGAGTTTAACAAGAGTTATGCATAAAATAACTACCACAACCAGAACTAGAATGTAAGTTTGCTTCACAACTAAGCCTTTCTTCTTTCCACTACATATGCTGACTGCTTTTGCAAAACTAAAACCCCAAAAGAATACAGTGCAGAAAGATGCAGAAAGATAACACCGTCCCTCACCAGAACTCTGCCAGATTTGACTCTTATGGTCCCAACCCTAGTGTGTTCCCTCACTGTCCATATACAGAGTAGGAATTATTTTGTTTTTAAATTTGCTATTGAATATTTGACAGAAAACTCCTGTGGAAGGTAGATTATTGGCATTAAATGATGGCTACAAAGGACATAGATCAGTGTTTTTCAAACTTTAATGTTTGAGAAGAATGACTTGGCGCGGGATCTGGTTAAAGATGCAGGTCCCAATTCAGGAAGCCTGGGGTGTTGGCTGCATATCTAAAAAGCTCCTGGTGATGCTACTGCCACTGAGACTGAGCCACACTCGGAGCAGCAGGACCTGGCACTATAACCAAGCAATCCCTGCAGGGCCAGGTAGCTGATATTTTGGTGCTCAGTGGGTCTACTCAGCTTGTGCATTTGATATGGCAGCACATGTCGTATCATAAGAAGCTACTTCCAACAAACCACTGACAACTCCATGTTGCTATTTACAATGGGCAGTCCTCAATTTCCTTGACCATAGACAACAATAGACAGAGCGATCCCTCCAACTTTCTGAAATCGTTTCCTCACTTGCCCTTAGTGACTCCATTTCCAATGCTGTTCTTCCTGCTCATACGCCAGCTTCTTGTCTCAGCCTCCTGTCATGGCTCCTCTTCCTGACACCTAAACATCGGGAAGCTCAAGACGCAGTCCTCAGATTGTCTATCTATAATCACTTGCCTGGGAATCTCTTCCAGTTTTAGAACTTTAAGTATCGCAAATAGTGCCCCAAATCTCTACCCTGTAACCTGGACCTAGAGCCCAGACTGCTACCCTCAACTGCAGAATCAGGTGTCCAGCTGTCTTACTCCTTGAAGACCAGCCAACTCAATGTGGCCAAAACTGATTTTGATATTCCCCATCATCCCCAAGCATACATTCCCCCAGGCCCCACTTTCAGAGCCCTTGATTTAAGAAAATAATTGGGGCTAACTGTATCAGCTTGGAAGGCTGAGGATGAGGAAGGGGTTTATATTTACACATCACACCCTCTGTTCTGATGGTGTATCTGTGGCCATTTTGTTAGTGGGTGACAATGATGATGTACACTTGCTTAGATGTGGTTAGCCTGGCACAATTCAGATAAAGCTAAGTACAAATGGTTCCACCTTAGGCACATTAAGTTGGTGTGGCTTGAAAGATCCTCACTAACCCAAGCCTAACATCTTTGACTGTGTGTCCATTGATACAGCCCAGGTGAGCCCATAAACTTATATCTTAGTCTGTCAGAGAAATGCTGCTAGGTTTCCTTCCTGTGCCAACATTTTCCCATGCAAATCAGGTAAGTTATCTCCCATTAAAATATTCCAACAAGGCCTGGCTATTCCAGTGTGATCTGATTAATGTCACATGTGGGCAAAGATTCCACACATTTGGCCATTAACATCTTTAGATACACATGAAATATTTATCACTCCTCCTTCAAAGCTTCAAAGAAAAATAATTACCAGAAAATTTACTTAAATAAGGTCAATATGGCTTTTTGCTAATCTTCTGAAAGAATGCAAGTAGTAAATTTTGATAAATTTATTACCTTTGCCTCTAGTTTGTGATTCCTACTGTTATGTCTTACTTCATCTTTAAACATTTGACTTCTGATCTTTTCCAGAGTAGTTCGAATCTAGAGGGAGAAAAAAATATATTTTTTGCAAATGCATTTAATGCCAAATACTCTTAAAAAAATCTATGCAAGCTATAGAACACCTGATTTTTCTAGAAAGTAACATACATATGCTGATGTCAGATTTATACAGTGGCCATCACCTTAACTTGAATTTAGGCTGAAATGATTTAGATTGCTGAAAATAAACGTTTGGCTCTTAAATATCTTTTTCAGACAAACTCAGAACCTGATAAGCTAAATTAATATTATACTACAAAATACTTATTCAGTAATTAGCACTTAATACTATCTATTTGGTTCTATTTTATCTATATAGTAATTTAGTACTAATTTACTGTTTGGTAATTACTATAAAACAATTACTAAATTAGTAATCACTACAAAACAATTACTAAATTAGTAATCACTACAAAACAATTACTAAATTAGTAATCACCACAAAATAATTACTATTCAGTCATTACTACAAAATAATCACTACCCAGTAATTACTACAGAATAATTGCTATTAAGTAATTACTACAGAATAATCACAAAAAGGAATTCATATAAATTTATGTATGAAATATGAGCCCCATGTCGTGATGACCTATGAAATGGCAAGATACTCAAAGATAATTTAATTAGTTGATCTAAACAAGTTATGAACTATCCATATCAGAGTTTATCCATCTGGTCTAAGAAATGATTAATACAAATATCTCTTTCGTTAGCCCTCATCACCTTGGATTCTTGTAAGACCTCACATTTTTAATGACGTGTAGTCATTAGCAGTAGCTGCCCTGAAGTGTGAAGAGAAGCCAGGTAAAGAGAAAGACACGCAGCGGGAAACATAAACATCTACTTGGGAACACAGTACCAGCCCTCATGAAACCACTGGGAAAGGTTATAAAACAGTAGGAAATCCAGCAGAGAACAGCACGGGGCAAATTAAGTGCTGATAGGTGTTCTGAATCCTCCTGGCCCATTACTCAATTTTACTGGGGAAAGAAAATCATTTTACTCCAAGTGTCGGATCAGGTTCATATCCTCAAGAGAAATCACTAACCGTGTGTTCACATTTCAGCTGCCAAGACTGTCCTTTGCCAGGCTAGATCTGTTTCTTTTATACTTTCCATGGAAAGGGAAAAACCAAGCCCACCAACCTTACTAGAATTTATCCTAAAAAAAAAAAAAAAAAAATCACGCGCAGGTGACTGCCAGCACCCAAATACCTTTTTCACATATTCAGTCTCTTCAATAATGTGAGCTGATGTACATTCATACAAGGCAGAATCCTCCATCTTTTTCTTTGGGGGAACTTCTGTGGTCACTGTTATTGTTGTCATTGTGAATTCTGGCTTTAAGAAAACATAAATGAGCTGAGAAAAACATACTTTCCCGATTATATGATCGTATGATTCACATAGTTACAGGAGGAGTTCACTGTAGTCAAAAGTAGGCAATGCAGTCTGTACACATGGAAAAATAAGAGTTCATACCCCCATTTGAATCAAATGTATGAAAAGTCAAGATCATTGTAATGTTTTGAGCGACTAATAAAAAAATTTTTTTAAATAGTCGGCAAAAATGATGAGTCCTTAGAATCTGTAGATATCCATTAAAGTTGAATATGGAAGAAATATCATCCAAAGCAAACATGATTAAAATTTTTGAAAAAAAAATCTGAAAGAGGAAAATATGAAATTTCTTTTTCTTTAGCATCATCTTAGAATTACTATTAATCAAGAATAGGGGACATGTGTTGTTCATCTTTATTTTCTAGCCTGTAGTTAGTGCTTAAGGAATTTCTGTAGAATTAACAATAGAATTTAGCAAAACCATGTTGTGTTTGCATATATCTTTATATATAGTTTATAAAGTGTATTTATAAAAACTATTTGTAATAGTGAATGACTGGATTAAAAAAAAACAAATGCCCACAGAGATTGATTGGTTAAATTAATCTAATTTATCATGCAGTTACCTCTAGTATATCTTGTCCAATTAAAGATATGGTACTGAAAGAAATATATAGGATTCTACTTTCTATGAGAAGGTGGGAAATGGGAATGGAAAAGGAAAATCTATGTCTTATAATTTTGACATAGGGCCATATAAATATTTTAAATAACTGTAAAACAGAATTTAAAAAAGAAAAGGTAATCATACAAAATGATAAAATGACTATATCTACATATAAAGTTGATGGCATAGAATTATTTCAAGTGATTCAAAAATTATTTCAAGTGATTCAAGTGATCTTTGGTGTGCTATATTTGTTCTAAGAACAAAAAGAATGATTTAAAAATCTTAAACTATATTTATCAATAATAATGTTAGTAGAGTTAGTGGAAAGTTTGGTATTGCTACTTTGAAACTGTGTGTGTGTGTGTGTGTGTGTGTGTGTTCAGGCAAGCTTCAGTGCATACTATAGAAAAAAAAACAGTAAGTAAATGAGTTAATATCATTAAAAGTCAAGTTTTTTGTCATAACAGAAAAAATAGCTCATAGAACCAGAAATGTTAAGTAAAAATCTTACAGTGTCACCTAGAATTATGAGTATAAAGCAATGATTTTTTTTCCTTAAAAAATATACATTCTACATTCTACCTCTATTCACTGAAAATCCTGGAAGCAGTAGCAATTAGCACCCTGGTGGCCATCCTCTGCTCCTTGTGTGTCTTAAATTGCTAAAAAGGAAACTCGAGCATCTTGGCTGATCCAGGTTGAGGGCAAGAAATGCATCAAGTAAGTCTGAGATAGTACATCATCCAGCAAGCAAAAATTTGATAAAATATTACTTGAATAAGACACAAAAGCCATCCTGAGGAGCAATGACCATGCTGGAGGGAAACATCAGAATCCTAAATCCCTAAACTTATGAAGACAGGTGAAAACCCATCAGCAGCAGCCTCGTGGCCCACCTTGGAATTCACTAAGGCTTAACTCAGTGGAGATAAACACCACTATATTACAACCTGGAGGAGGGAAGGAGGGGAGAAAAGAGAGAAGAAGAAGTGAGGGAGGGGAAAACAGGAAGGAAAAGGAACCAGCATTTGTCTTTACTCTGTGAACTGTATTTCATGGTAACCAAATAGTTGTTGAGGAAAAGGTTTCTAATGAGTCCACAAGGACTGAGGGAAACCCACCACTTTCAGCCCTCTGTGAAATAATGGATCTGAGCAAAAACCATTGACCAACTAAGATCGTGAGGCGGAAGTTCAATGAGGATACATTAACCTGAGAGGCCTTATGCATCAATCTTAACTAAAAATTGCCATGAATTAAGAGTCCTAAGAGACACATGACCAAATGCAACCTATGAACTGAATCTTGCCTAAAACAAATCAATCCTATAAATACATTTTTGAGACTGACTGAAAAATAACTGTTTCTAAGGAATCATTTAAATTTTGCCAGCTGTGATAGTGGAAGTATGAGATTCTTTTAGAAGATCTTACATAATAGTGGTACATATCGAAATATTTGCAGGTGAAATTATATGTATTTGGAGCTGTTTTAAAATAGCAAGCAGGGGGGCTGGAGTTGTAGCTCAGCGGTAGAATGCTTGCCTTGTATGTGTGAGGCACTGCGTTCGATTCCCAGCACCACATATAAATAAAGAAATAAAATAAAGGTCCATCAACAACTAAATAAATAAATAGCAGGGAGGAAGAATGGTGTTGGAATAGAGATGAAAGAAGTTAAACAAAATATAGGTAATTGTTGATGCTGGATGGTGAGCAAATGGGGCTCATTATACTCTATTTTGGTTTTGCTTTACATTTCTACAAAAAATAATAAGGAACTAAAAAATAAACTGCAATAAAAAGTGCTGCAAAATAGAATTATTAAACCCATTTTATGGATAAATAAATCAAGATTCCCACAGTACTGTTAACTTACCCAAGATACAGTAAATCAAGCGGAGCTAAACGTCAAACGTTGGACTTTTTGAGACTAAGTTCAGAGGTGTTTCCATCCCATTAAGTCTGGCTTCCCTAGAGAGAAACAACAACAACCAACAAACAGCAAGATGTTTAAAATCGAGCAATACCTCTGCTACTAAAAGACAAAGAATTTTCACATTGGCCTATATCACTTTGAAATAAGATAGCCTCTGGGGATACCAAAAAGCCCTGCATTTATCCTCTAATCTTCAAAGAAATTGACAATGCATGCCAAGCATTTTCCATTTTATTATAAATCCTCTTAGACAGCCCCCAGGGCTTCAATTTGCTTTGGCTGAAGTTGAGTGGGCAGCAGTGGCTCTGCAGGTCAGCTTGCAAAGACCACAAGTGGAAATGCTTCTCTGACTCAGTCCTCTCCAGTCCAGGATTCAAGACTGGGTCTGAAGCAACATTTAAATCTCAAAATCTTAGAGACAATGTGCTCAGAAACCAAAGGGAGGGTGGTCAGGCCAGGGTAGGGATTGGTAAACCATATCTGAGACCCCCAAACTATCCCCTACCTGCTTGGGTAGTCTGTGAGCTGAGAGTGGTTCTTACGTTTTTAATGATTCAAACTAAAAATTCAAAAGACTTACATTCAAGACACGTGGAAATTATATGAAGATCAAACTTCATGTCCACAAGTGAAGGTTTGTTCTAAGGCAACACTGCATTTGGGCCATGCTGCTTTGGTTTTGCATTTGGGGATGAGTATGTGCAACAGAGGACTTTCGTGGCAAGCCAAATCTGGAATAGTCGCTATCTAGTCCTTTCCAGGGAAAGTGTGCTGACCCTGGGAATAGCAGGGGCTGGAAGCAAGATGGGAGAACTAGAAACTATCTGGCCTGGATCAAGGTTTTCCTCCACTTCAGTCTCCCTGGATCTATAATCTCACTTGACTGATTTGCTTTCATTTTTCTTTTTGTCAGTTATGCACTGTGAACACTGACAAATGAGCAGAGGTGCTTCATCACGGGGCACCATCTCTCTGTAGAAAGGATCCGGCTACATTCCCAATCTTCATAATTGGACTTCATCTTGGGCCAAATGCCATGTATACACAAAGATACTCTCACCCGCTCCTTTTATTGTTAATATCAAAGAATTCTGCTCCTTGCTGCCTGATATTTCTCAAAAAAATACCACCTTTTCCACTCACTGGTTAAAAGGGTTGCCTACGACCTCAGCCTTAACTTCCACATCTGTAACACAGAGGAAAACACCTAGGGTTGTGAACATGGGTTGTTATTTAATGTCTGATGGTAAAGGTCCTCCAAGGTTAGTAAATATCAATATTGCTGCAATTCTTCTTTTATGCTATTGATCATCACAAAAGACAATCGGCCCGTAACAGAGGAGGCCGTTCACACCTCTTTGGTCGCAAAGCTTTCCACCCAGCTATATCCATACGAAGTTAAACTCCATGTCTCTCTTTGGTTGAGAAAACTTTTGTGCCCACAGTCTCTGCTTTGTTTAAAGAAACCCAAGGGGGGACATGAGCCAGCAAAGTCCAAATCGCCATATGGCATTACCATCCTGGGGAAAATCCATGTTAGCATTTTATTTCAGCCAGAAGTAGATTAGGCAGATAAAATTTTCAAAATAAAACACAATCAGTTAATTAAAGTGAGGAAAGACTTTATTTGTTTTATGCTAGAATGGATTGAGACGGCTTATGAGAGGCGACATGCCAAGGGGGGGTGCTTTCCTAGATGAAGGCTTTTCAAAGGGACTCCCAGGGAGGAGAGGGTGGCTAAGGAGAATAGGACTCTGTTTCCTTAACTTCAATCAAGGCAGCTCGGCTTTGTCCATCATATACTAAATTTTTCCACAAGGCTTTCTGAGAAGAAAGAAAATTCAACATCTAAAAGGTTTATAGGCAGCCTGCCCAGTTTCATGGCCTCATTCTGCTACCCAATAGCTGTGTTACTTGGGCAAGTTCCTTAACCTCTCTGTGCTTCAAGTCTCATTAACAGTAAAATCCAGATAATATTAATTATTAACAATAATAATCAACATGGGGTTGTTTGTGAGTTAATATTTGTCAAGCACTTAGCACATATAATACATAATAAATGATCTGCACATGTTTGTCAAATGAGTAAATAAAATATGAGACCATTATCCATAATTAAGGTTGACAAGCAGTTTTTCTTCCCCTGTAGGGAAGAAAAACAGGTAATATTTTAAATAGTCTCTACACTGAGATGGGCTATAAAGAAAAATTTGCTTTGGGGGATTTTAAGACCAGCAAATCCATGATACTGATTCTTTATTGCTAATGCATCAATAATGTGTCAACATCCCAACCCACGATGCTAGCGTCTGATGAATAGTTTACAACTTACAAAGCAAAGCACATACATTACTGTGAATTGTAGTCTGTGTGATAAATCAGCATGTTACTGGACACCTAGGAATATAACCAAACCCACTGCAGCGTTTGGTGAACTGAGACTAGCTAAAGAATTCCATAATAAACCCGTAGAAGGCTTTGTTGCAGGTTGAAATAGTGTCCCCCCCCCCAAATGCACATGTTGATGTCCTAACCCCTGCTATCTCAGAATGTGACCTGACTTGGAAACAGGGTCATTGTAGATGTAATTAGCAAAGAGGAGGAGATGCTGTAGCCGGGTGGACCCTTCCTGCAGTTTGGAGGGAGGATTTTCCTGCAGTTTGGAGTGCACAGGGAGAAGGTTATGTGAAGGCGAAGGCAGGGTGATGCTTTTACACGCCAAGGGATGCCGGAGACTGCCATTGACCGGCCAGATGCTAGGAGACAAGCACAAAACAGACTCCCACCCAGCCCTGGAGGGAACCAGCCCAGCACACCCCTTGCTCTCAGACTCACGGCCTCCAGAAACGTGAGGTGGTCCATTTCTACCTGAAAGCCTCAGCACGCGGTGCCTGGGGAGAGCAGCCTGGGAAACCAGCGCAGCACTGTTGATTGCCTTGAAACTACAACAAGGGCGTTTCCTTTCTTGGCCTCACCCTTGACTCATTCTTTCCTATAGTAAACATTTTTTGAATACCACTGGGTTAGGGACGGTGGCTACCAGGGTTGAGCCAAAGGCCTGGTTTCCAGGGGACTTTCAGGACAGAGGGGAGACAGGACACGAATAAGTAAATATGGAAGGCGGTGGCAGTGGCATGAGTAAAGCAGATCAGAGGAACAGAATGAAAGGAGATGCTGTTTGGGATTTGCCGTGAGGGACTGACACTGGGGAGGACTGGACTGAAAGAATGTCTGCAGGCTGGGTGGCCACCTGGCGAGGACCCCAGGCAAGGGCAGAAGCAGGAGCAGAGGCTGAAGTTCCCTCACAGTTGCGCTCTCAGAAGAACTCCACGGTGCGTGGCGCAGCCTACCACTGTCTCTTCTTTTTCTTTTAATGTTGCAGGTTTTGTTTTTTCTTTGAGTAGACTGAGATGTGTTGAGATGTCCAATTTGCCCAAGGAGTCACCTCCTTAGCCACCTTAAAACACCCCTGCCTGGCATGGGTCCCCAAGAGCTGAAAGGCAGGCAAGATGCAGCCCTCAGATGCTTCACCTTGAGCCCAGCACCCAGGGGCACCCCAGCTCTCTTCTCCAGGTGGCCCCCGTGTTTGGCAATCCATCACCCGACTCTCCTTCCCAGATACCGGAACCACCATGTGCATGAGTCTTGCAGCAAGTGTCCCTTGCTCATTTGTCCCCACTGCCTGGAGTTAGAGCATAGTTAGCTACAACACCAAGACTCAACAAGCCGAGTGCTGTCCCTGGAGATGTGACTTGAGGACTAGCCATCTGGCTTGGTGACACTGGAGGCCATGAAAACCCAGTTCTCATTCAGGGAAGGGAAGGACTCTAACACAGAGTGGTGCTTTGTGGCCGCCCATGGCAAGAGCACCAGTGGTGGCAATCAGTGACCAGTGGTGACGCCAGAGGGACCCTAACCTGCTTTTCCTGCTGTCTGATCTTGCAGTGGGATGATAAGCACACCAGAGCCTCCTACCTTCCAAAGCTGGTTTTCTAACTTTCCCATCAATTCTGGGAGCTACACCACATACCTTCCGGTCAATTCTTTATCTGCCATGTCATTAGTCAGCTACTCTGGTTTGCAGTCAGGAGCTCTGATTGGTTTTAGCTCTGATTGGTTTTAGTGCCATCTCTGGGTTTTGGTTTTTAAGTTTCTCAGCTCTGAGCTGACAATACTATCGCTTTGCTCTTGATCTCTATCATACAGAGCTTAGAGATCAGGAGCTGTAAAGCAGGTTACAACTGAAGCACCACTGGATCTTTATTAGGTTATGAGTAGGGGAGCTAGCATCCCTTCAAGTCCTCAGAGAGAATGGCCTTGCCTTGAATCTTTAGCAGCTCACCTGTGCCACAGCTACGTTACACAGCACAATGGTGACATCCAGTGTCAGCTGGCTCCATCTCAGATGACGGAGCAGCTTACCTAGAAATAACACACACTACACCGAAGACGGGCCTGTTTGCACTGAACCCCACTTCTGTCTGCCAGTCTTTGTGGAAGTAATTCATTCTTCAGTAGAATTAACTTCATTCAACCACGTACTACTCACTCATTGGTACATACATATAAATTTACTCCTATAGAAAACTCTTAGATATGAAATATGGCTATTTATTTTATAGGGAAAATGATTTAAATATTAGTGCAAATATTATGTACAAATACATACTGTTAACAAAGTGCTGTACCACTTACCAAAAAATTATTTCTCATATATTGTCAATCATTACAATACTCCCTTATGGGCATGGTCCTCAGCACAAAATAAGTACAACCAAAGCAAAGAGGAATGATACAATTTTTTCATCATCACCTGAACTCAGACAGACTGACCTCAGGTCCAAATGTCTTTGTACTGAACCAGTACAAACTATGAAATTTCTGATTTCAAACTATGAAACAGCTGAAGGTGTCAATCAGGGCCAGCTGAACAACTAGATTACAAAGAGGTACAAATCATATGAGCCCCTCTCATTCAGGAGGGAGGGTGTGAGAGAGGATCTTTGGAGCGCCCAGATTGTGCTGGGTAGAGTAT